CCCTTCCAGCCCTAATGTCTATGAAATCTATGAAATCATAATATGGCCAAACACTATTATTTTGCCTACAATTGTATACACCTGAAGATGCGAATGTGGGCTGAAGTCTTATGACACTCAGTGCTGCAGTGCCTCCCCTGAAAAATGTAACAAATATATAACAATACCCTACCAAGAAATAATAGCATCTAGAGGAGTAAAGACAAAAGATAATGAAAATAAGATCACACTGTTCCATATATTCAAATCGTGCACTTAACAGTTACAAATCTTCTGAAATTTTTTCAGTTAAATAAAATGAACTAACTGTGGCACAACTTAATCACCCTGGTTGGCTGATTTCTTGATGGCAACACAGGAAAAGCAAGTTGGACTAATTTGGGTAAGAAAAGCCTTCTTTGGCAGGTGCTTGGAAGAAAACAAAGACATATGCTGGATAAACAGAAAAATGGGCTTTCACAGTTGGTATATTTGGCAGAAGAGAAACAAGAGCAGTTAAGAGCAAGATAGAATTGTACAGAACTCTTTAGAATGTAGGGAGAAGAAGCTTAAATTTGATGCACTGGCTTGATGCAGGCAGTGACTAGGAATCAGTCAGGAAACAGCATGGCTGGAGTGATAAAACAAAAAGTTGTCATCAGTTGAGTTTTTAGTTGATTATAAAAAAACAGCAATATGCACATCTGGAATCCACAGGGAAGAAAGTTGCAACAGAAAAGTTTATTATTAGTATTAATGCCAAGAAAAGATTAGGTATTCAAACACTATGCAGTAAACAGAGCCAGAATTTGGACTCTAACTGAATGTGGGGCAGAGAACTATCAACAGTTATCAGCATATTCATATATACCAGTGACAGGATGATATTTTCTCTGCTTGAGAAACGTAAGGAAGCATTTATGAGGAAAGATCAGAAGTTTGCTTAGATGTATTCTTCTCACAACTTAAACACAATGGGTGCATCTACATGAGACATTTATTATGGAATTGCCTACTCAGCTTCACAGTAAAACATCTGTGTCTACATGTGTAGAGCTACTAGGCTGGAGCAATCTAATTAACCTCACCGTAGGTTAGTATTGCTTGATACGCATACAATCCTATGGTGGAGTTATTTACACCACTACAACACACATGTAGATGATGATGGGACTGGCTAGGCACAAGGGTGCCTCAGTATGGAGCTGCCTGCTGCTAGCCCCATACTGAAGTATCCTTGTGCCACAGCCAGCCCCTCTGCAGCATGTCGAGCTAGGTTGGAACAGCCCCAGGCAGACAAGCTGACCCCAGGGCCCTCCTGCCAGCCAAGGCTGTGCTGCCCTGGCTCAATGTGATGTGGTCCCAGGTGCACATGTAAATGCTACACCCAAGAGCAATAAACTCCAGCACAAACTGCACCAGAGTTCATTCAGTCAAATTACATTTCACATGTAGATGCACCCAATAGGTCCAAAAGCAATAGGCTGAATCAACGAACTATGTATGAGCCAAAAGTAGAAAGGTAGATTTGCAATAGGATATCAGTAGAATGTTTGCATAATGAATGACTTAATGACACTCCCCTTCAAACTCCATTCATGTTTGATATTCAGAGTGTCATGTCTGGGGTGGGGATGGATGCACAAGTCTTAATGTGGCCAATAGGGGTAGAAATCAAGACTTACATTCACCCATTTACAAGTGAAAATTTACAATTTCTGCAAGGCTGAGATAATAGCGGGGCAGTTAATCTGAAAGAGCAAGAGACAATGGGCTCATGTACATGCCACAATTTTTGCTCTTTCATACGCTGCAACTGTGTGTCTGTTTTTACGATTGGGATTTCCCAACACTTTAAAATTCTATCTTGTGCTTTAAACTAAAACTCCTTGGATGTAGTTTAATAGGTTAGGCTCACCAGGAATTAAAGCCTTGCATCCATGCAAACACAAAGGCACTCAAAAATGTGTAACGAGCCTCTCTGTTCACCAAATGGTGCTGCGAATTTTTGTAGTTCACTCCTTCAAATTGCT